ATTAATTCTGGCCGCTTCCTTTCAATTGCTTGTTGTAATCTCTGCAGTTGTTCACAGTAGAGTTCGGAATTAATTGTTTGATTGGACGATAACAGCTCATAGTGAACGATTCCCTTCCAGTCCACCACACATACAACATCACCTTCTTCCTCGTCAATCCAGGTTTTGCGATTGCTTATGTCTTCTCTCCTTTTTTTATCCACGATCTTTTTCTAGTTGGATTGTCGTAGGTGATCCATTTTTCATTACCAGTTATCATTCTCTTCAGAAATGGCTCAATTTCATTTCGTTTCAGTAGCGTATCACAAATGTTAATTCGATCCATCATGTTCCTAACACTCAACTCGTGAGGAACCCAAACATCGAGCTTCTTTTTGTATCCAGTTTTGTGTAAATGATTTAAAACTGTTTGTGGTCGATGCTTAGTTCCCTGGCAATTTCCACAGTGCTTACATGCTTATCACGCTCGACTTTTACTATGATTTCATCGGACTTTTCAGTGATTGGTCAACCGGAGCGAGATCACATCGAAATTTCCAGCACGAAAGTGAACGAACCATTTCCGTGCTGCTGATTTTGATAAAGTATCTTCACTGTATATAATAATAGCGCAAATTTTTTCACAAGCCTTCTTGCAGCATTCTTGCCTTTATCGTAGTGATACTGCAAAATGTAGTGAATTTTTTCCTTATTTATTTCCATTTTCAAAATAAAATAACTTTTGATCCACTTCACCGATTTCAATCTTTTTCGGCTCAAAACAAAGATTAAACAAAGGTTAAAATGTCACTTTTTAAACGCACGTCTAGTGTTGCCGACTGCTGAGCATTTAATGTCATCTAGCGGGAAAAACGCCACGAACTTTTTCCCACACCCAATATTACTTCACGAGATTTTCTGTTCTGACGCTTCCGCAGGTCTCTATATTTATACCTCAAAAAAAGGATGTAATTCCCTTTTTCTAGGAAGCAATTCTAGGAATCATGTTGTTACGTCATCCAAGATTTATGATTTTTTTTAAGTGTTATTATTGTTGATCTTGAGGACCTTAATTCCCAACGTGGACGTTATCACCCCTGGTGGGCGCTAAGAAGATCTACGGGAGCGTTGCTAATCCTAAGGGCAGAAGGGGGGAGCAAGTGATAAAAAAACCAGAGACGCCAGAGAAATTTAATCTCTTAAATATTTTCTAAACACTTAAACATTCACTTGATTATATAAGTATTACAATTATACATTTTTATAAGAATCAAATATGTCAACCCTCCATATATATTGATTTAGGTTGTATGATATGTAAGATTTTTTTTATTATGTGCAATTTTTTTCGATTAATGTTTTCTTGTACAAAATGATCAGAATAAATGCATTTATGCATGTTTTGTTAGATTTATTAATAGAACGCGGATATTCGTGCATGATTTCGTGCACGGAGCACTATGTGAGTAATATTTTTTATTTGTTTCTGTGTAATTTTCTTTTTGTTTATTTAGGGATAGTTTGTCGATTGCCTGATTTATCAGTTTATTCGCGAAAGAGGAGATGAGCCAAAAAAGATTGGAAAACTATGATTTAGAATACATCGTTTAAGAATTTCATGAAGAAAAAGAATGATTTTTCTTTAAGGCGGCTGATAGATTACTCTAAATGAATGGTAAGTTTTGTTATTTCGCAGAAAAATATAGCTAGGTAAACAGTTGTTTACAGTGTTGAGCCAGTTTTAAGGTTATTGCATGCAGAGTAATCATTGTCAATCGCGAGTCCGATCTTAGATAGATTAGCGTGGGAAATTACCCCATATTTTATAATTTTGGCGCGAAATGGTGCCTGTTTTTTTCTTAAAATTAATTTGTTGATCAGCCTTGGGCGACAGCTTAGGTATTCGCGTAACATAAATATATGTATGGTGTATTTTGCGATCTTATCGCTTTCAGTTCTGCATTAATGTTGTTATTTTTTTCTGATTAATTGACATTTATGAGTTTTCGGAAATTATTTGGTCTCTTTAATTTTTTCAAATTGTTATCAAGATTTGCATATAATAAAAAAAACAGTAAATATTCGCTGATGATTATATCAGTTATGAGTGTAGCACTGATGTCAGTAATAATACACTGATAATACACTCATTTTTAGAGAGTACCTTTTAATTCTTCCGTTTGTAACAAAGTACGCCATTCTACACCTTCTTATGCGGAATTATTCTTATTCATTCGTGAGCATTATGCATTTTCGCTAATAGAGAGCTACGGCGGAGATACATAAATTCTTAAATAAGAACCACCTAGGAAAGAATATAAAAAGCGCAGCATTTCGCATGTGAAATGAGCCCTAAAAGTTGTGCTTTAATATTATTGGGAGTACAAATTAGTTCGGTTTTTTTGTGCATTTATTTCAAAACAAAATGAATGAACAGATCAATTAAAGTATTGTCCATCATTGCTTATTACTTTTTCCCATCTTTCAGGCAATTTTCGAATTCCATCTCGAAAAAATGACTCGTCTTCGGAGGTGATCCAATTTTGGAGCCAATTTTCGATTTCTGCGAAAGAAGTGAACTTGCTGCATCCTTCGGAACAACTAGTAACCAAAAGGAGCAATACGATACGGTGCGGTAAAACATCCCATTTGAGCGTTTCCAAATATTTTTTTACGACTTTAGCAACATGAAGCCGAGCGTTGTCATGAAGAAGAATAACTTTGTTATGTCTTTGCTCGTATTCCGGTCGTTTTTCTCGCAATGCATAGCTCAAACGAATCAATTGTAGCCGATACCGATCATCCGTAATGGAATCGCCAGGTTTCAGCAACTCATAGTAAACAAGACCCTTTTGGTCCCATCAGATACAGAGCATGATCTTCGAACCATGAATGTTCGGCCATAGTGTTGATGTTGAGGTCGATGGCAACGATTGACCGGGTTTAGCGTAGTATTTTATCTTCTTGTGGTTGTCATAGAATATCCACTTCTCATCTCCAGTCACAATCTGATGCAAAAAACCTTTTCTCTATTGTCTTTGAATCAGCTGTTCGCAAGTGAAAAATCGCCTTTCAATGTCTCTCAATGTTTCAGTTCATAAAGCAATTTCCTTGTTTTTGAATCATTCCCATGGCTCTCACAATCGTACAGAAACGGCTTATTGAGTTATCCCCAATGATTCTGCAAGTTCCTCTTGCGTTTGACTCTGATCTTCTTCGAGTAATGCCTCTAATTTTTTGTCTTCGAATTTTTTTGGCAGAACGAGGCTTGTCTTCAACGCTGAAATCTCCATCCTTGAAACTTCGAAACCATTCCCTACATGATTTATCAGTTGGAGCAGTGTCACCATAAACTTCGACAAGCATTCATTGGGCTTCAGCCGCACTTTTCTTCCAATTAAAGCAGAAAATCAAAAAATCTCTTCACAACAGCTGGAGCTATCTTTAGAGAAATGGACCGAACTAATTTGTACTCCCAATAAGGTACCCGTGCTACGATGGAATTTTAATTTATTTTAATCCATCATGACAGCAACATACATATGCTAAATAAGTTCAAAATATCATTATGTTATTTTAAACAGGAGTGTAAAAGCGTACTTTTTGGCGTAGTTTGCCATAGTTTGGCATACAAAGACATGCATCGGCTTACTTTGGCATAGGAGTAGAATTTTGCGCTCAATTACTTCTGTATTTTCTAAATCATGTATTTACTTTTTGGCGTACTTTGATATAGAAATTTTTCCGCTAGGGATTCGACTGTGATTGATCAATTTTTTACGGCTTGCCTTATTGTAACAGGTCTTCAACTCCGTACAAGAGCTCTCGCGACTGCGACAACCATATGACTAAAAACAGTTAATATTTCTACGACATTGGCTGCGTTCAGCGGACTCAACAATTGAAGTCATTTTCGTATATTACTACTAGTTAGTACAGATAGTACAGTATAGTATATGTAACGAGAATATATATATAAAATTTTTAGTACTGGCAATCAACTGGCAGTAATATACAAACGTGACCTGAGTAAGCGTTCGCTGTTATTGATGGATGCTTTCCAACAAGAGATATATCTTGTTTGCCAATGTTAAACAAAGATGAGACTCACTATATACTGAATCGCTTATTGGAAGTACACTTAAAAAGGTAACTACGAGCTTACATTACATGTAAATGTAATGAAGCTGATGGTTATGAATGAAATTAAAAGTATGAATAATTTAACTGAAAATTAAATTACAATAATTATTCAAATGTAACGAACGTGTACATTAAATTTATGAAATGTACTACTAATTACTTTTAATAAAATTTTATGAAAAGTACATTAAATTTTATGTATATGTACACAAATATACTTTTTAATTAATTGCAGCAACCAATTAACTTTTGGTTGCAATAGCTGACTCTTATTTTACAATCTAGTCTTTAAGTTGTTTAATATTAAAGAATTCTTCAACATTAATTATTATTCCTATCGAAATTGTATGTTGACAGATAGGTTTGCAGATAGGCCAACCAAAAATTAGCTGCTGTAACCAAAAATTGGTTGCTGCAGTCAATCTTTTCTTTTAATGTAATAACGTTTAACAAGAAATCATCACCGTTTATCTTCGCCATTTATCTTCGCATAGGAATACATTTGATCAATCTGCCGCTTAAAAATTACAATAAATAGATTGAAAACATGTATTGATACAAATTCTTTGCAAATTGTTGTACTATGATATCGCAAAATATTTCTCCGATGATTAATATTCGCTACTTCACAGGAATAAATTCCTTTCCAGGCGATAATAAGGTATAAGTGAAAGGAGAAACAAGAAATTGATAGAAACTTAAACGAAATTTGTAAAAAGTGCAAACGGGAAAAGCAAAACGCGTAAAAGAAATATCAACATTTCAAAGAAATTCTTTTGCGTTGTTCAATTTATGTTTCCTAACAGCTTCTTCGCTTACGTTATTGTCACTCTTATGTTTGACTCTTATGCTCTGATTGATATCATCATTTATCGCTATTATTTATTTCCATTATCAATTGAAAAATTATCTGCCAGAGAGTTAAGAAATTCGCAGACGAAAGGACGGTCACTCGATTCATATCGGCATAATGGAAGATCATATGGAATCGGAAATATCGGAACGACTGAATCATCTCCGTCCCCAATAGGAAATGTTGTTGTTCCAGTCTAAATATAAACGAGATATAATAATTAATATTAATCGATTAAAACATATGTCTTAAACACAATAATATATACCATAATATATACCATCTACTCATTAACATATCAGAAACTATTAAAATAATAATATGATGCTTACGATAAATTTTGGTATAAATATGACGCCAGCCTCATAGTTTCCTATATAATAATGTAGTCGTCCATTTCCCCATGCGGATTTACTCAGATTTGCACTGGTGAGCACAAACCATGGAATATTTTTTGAATCTGGTGAAATTCTTGTGTAGGATTTAATATGAGGCACAGCACGATCTCGTCCTGTTCGCTTAGCTTTCCATTGACTATAAAAATTAAGAAATAAATTAAATAATATAAAATGGGGCTATCTTATTCTGGAGGAGTAAAACTTTTTTATAAACAATTAAATTATAATGATTGAATAAATACTCGTGGTTTTTAATAATGTTCGATCCGAAAAGTTGTATAGAACCTTTCCCTGATGTATCTATTACTTATACAATTCTTACCCATATCATGAATTTCCCTTCCTTCTTTCCTTTCTATTATGACTTTTTTTTCCACTATACTTATTAGTTGGCATGATCATTTTAACAATCTATTACATTTTTTTTACTTGATTATTAACTTGCTAGCGTTCTTGCGCCATTATCAGTAATATTTCGAATTTTAACATTGAGAATGACCGATGATCACGTCTGTTTGAATTTTGTTGTATATAATTTAATTATTTATAAAAAAGTTTTACTCATCCAGAGTGATCGTAGCCTGATTTTATATTATTTAATTTATTAAATTCTTGAACCGTTTTCTCTATTGAATTTTAAATAAATATTCAAATTCTGGATTTAGAAGAAACAAATTACTCTTAAGAAAAATATAAGCAGAAAGATTTAAATAAAATAGAAATAAATGATTGTAACTTACTATAAATATGATTCTAGCCACTGTTGCTTAGAATGTATTTTTGCACTGTAAGGTAAAGGGGCAATTAACTTTTGACAATCAAAACTTTACTTATAATTTTCTATTGATGGATAAATAAATTGGAACTGCGGATGATTCTTTAAACCCATAGAAATTTCCTTCGACATACATCGAATTATGTATTTCAATAACCAATTTTCGATAGTTGAACCAAAGCAGCCTACAGCAGAACTCTGTGCAACTATAGGCCACTGTTCATCTGGCGGCAATGTAACATAGCGTGATAGGATGTACGCCAATTTCTTGTATCCCAAAAATCGGCTTCGACAGCTTTGTGAATTCCAGGAACAGAAGCAAGGAGAAACACATTCACGTCTGAAAAATCCGCTCTCCGCACTGCATATATCCACTGAGTCAAAGCTGATTGTTTATATTTACTCAGATATCGCTCGAGATCCTTCTTAAAACCCGTTGGAGATTCTCCATCTCTAGGATTTGCAGATTCTGGCAAACGGGGTAGATAAGGCGATATCCACAATCTAACCAAAAAATAATAAAAAAAATAATAAAAAAGATATTTATAGACACACATCATATCATTAACAAAAATATCTTTAAAAAAAATTTAGTATACCCTTGTGTCCTATTTTCCCAGTCCTCAAAATACAAATTAGCAGTGGAGACGATCACCCTAATTCCATCATCTTTATATTGCAGGATCATGATCTTCGTATGATGACAACCAAACTTGGTCGGCATGTCTATTTCTATCATGGTAATGTTGTTACTCAATTTTTCATGATCTAATCTTTCGCCGTACAAAATTGTCATATCAATACGTTGACCAGCTAACAGATATTGCAAACACAACCATGTGACATCTATCATAAAATTTAAATGAAGACTATTAACAATTTCTCCAAGACTGCGATCGAGAATCTCAGAGAATGTTATAGAGAACTGTTGATTATGAGTCTCTTTGGAATTTTCGATTCTCGTAAAGAATAAATGATAAGGTGCTGAAGAAGCGTATTTCATCGCAAACTTTCCTGGTTTTACAAGTATTACCGGATACCCAAATTGTCTCATTATATGAATACCTTATTTCTAACTTTTTTTCTTGATTTTTTTGAATTAAAATCTTGATATGTATTCAGATATTCCTCTATAGATATATTTAAACTTGTATTTCCCTCATTGTTTCTAGACTTAATTTGAATGTCGTTGATATCCTGTTGGTCATTTATGCAATTATTTATGCTTTCTGTGCTTTTCTGTCTATTCTTTTTTGAATCAGAAGAGCCACCTTCTGATGCTTCCTGACTTTTCTTCCGTGTCTAATAGAAAATTTATCTTTATTGCTTTATTTCCTTTCGCAATTAAAATTCATAATCTTATTATCTTAATTTCACTAACCTTGTTGCTTTCCCAATTCTTATGTTTTTCGCCAGTCAAAACTTTAGAATGTGTGTCAGTTCCTGCAGCCATTTATTCAAATTTACCTTCCTCTGTGCTAATTGTTGATTTCTTATGACTTCTTATTTTTTCTTTCAAATTTTTTTGTAATAGACAAAGATTGTGTTTTAGTAGATTATTTAATTACTAATTATCATAACAACTGTTTACACTGCACATTTAGTGAGGATATCCTAAGTTGTCTCACATTTCCAATCCAATGCAATCCTAGAGACGACTGAGTAGATAATATCTAGAGTATTGCAATAAAACATCGAATATCTGAATGTTATATACAGAATATCCGGTAAGTTTCAATAAAGCTAATGTGTAGATCGGGCGGACTTAAGTTGAATAAAAAAATCTTCTATCATTTTGCAATTTTCATAATTGTTTTTTTATTTTTATTTACCTTATGAGCAGAATGTCTAAAATTGACGTATAAAACAGATATCTTTAAGAGTTCTTTGCGAAATATCTTTAAGATGTTTAAAGAATTCTCTGAAAGTAATCTTAAAGTTATTTTATTGCATTTTAGCCGCTAATTTGACAATTTTCAAAATATTTTGTTCACTATTGCGAAAATTGCAAAAAGAGAGAGAATTTTTCTCAGTTTAAATCCGTTCTAACATATGAGCGTTACGTCAAAAGTTACCAGACACTTTATATGTAGGATCTGTAAGATCGATTATTATAATACTAACAAACAAGTTTAAAGTAAACAATCAAAAATAAAAGATAAGAATTGATAAGATTTTTACAAGATATTATTGTAACCTATTGTTTTATTTTTTATGTTAAAAAAGAATGTAATCGATTCCTATATTGTTCCTTTTTCATTTTTCTTTTGTGAAAGCGAATTTATGTATAGAATTCTTGTAACATGTTATTATTCTTTGTTGACTTATTAGAATTTTTCGAGTATAAATAATTGAAAATTTATCGCAATCAATAGTATATTCATAATGAAGAAAAAATTAAAAATTTTCTATATATATAGGGTAACTCCGACAAATACGCTACGCTGGGATTTACGCCGCAGAAGTCAGAAAAAATAGGAGATAATTTTCCCACAACTACTCTGTTACATGCTTTTATGTTATATTAGTATTCTGTTATAGTTTCAGTTACTGTTGATATTAATGAAATTATTGTGAATTGAATCGATATATTTCCGCTGTAAGTAGCGCTATCATAAATTATAATCTACCTAAAATGATTATTGTAGAACTGTAAAAGGCTTAGTATTTATTTCATGATACATAAGTGTAGAGGAATAGTAAAGCATGTTGTATAATCACAAATATCTTCTTGTATTTTTTATTTAGTTGTCTTGTGTATCCCATCTGTTTAAAATATATGACATTTTTAACGAATTTATGCTCAAAGTATACAAAGTGCGCAGATTGAATTTAATGCACTAAATGCAACAACATATTATCGATTTTTTTCAACGAATTATTCAATATTGAAACAAAAATGGTCCCTTTTACTTCAATGTTGAATAACTCGGTGAAAAAAAAATTGTACAACGTTCAATAAAAAAGCAAATTGAAGGTAAAGATTCATTCTTTCGAATGTTGTAAACCACATTTGAATGCGATTTTTAATTCATGCCACAGACCTTTATAAAATTTTCAGACGTGACTGATGTCCATTTCTGTTTGTATAGTTCTGTAAAAATCAGTTATATCGAAATATCAATTACCGATTTCGAAAGTAAAAATTTCAAACTTTAAAATGCTTTTCTAAAAATCTTTGGTGTGTACGGATGTCACGGATAACAAACAAATTTTTTTCTGCAAGTTTTTTTAATTGTATTGTACAGCTTAACATTTTCTACTTAAAATTATTTTTTAATCATTACGCTATAATTTTTTTCACTGAAGTGAAACGATTTGAAGTGAATAATGAATTTGCAGGTCTTTCGTTAAAAACGATTTAAATCATTTAAAAGCAATATGATTCTCTCTTAGAAATTGTCGCATAATGTTTGCGGTGAGAGAACGTGCATCATCATGCATTAAGATAAGTCCGTTTCTTATCTGATTTCTAAGAGAGAACTATATTGTTTTATATCATTCTCTAATGAGTCTCGATCTCAATAAATAAAACATATGAGATACAATTGGTCGTCAATTATGACGGAATTATCCGCAATTAGAAAATTTGGAACAGCTAGCGGAAGCGCTCCGTCAAATTTGGCGTACTATTCCACAGTTCGCAATACGGAGGTATATTAATATAAAATGGACGTTATTCAAAATAGAGATGATAGTATCAGATTTTAATTACGCCTGAATATGTACTAATTTTAGGCTAACGAAAATGCATATGTACACACACACACACACACACACGCGCGCGCACATGCACGCACGCACGCACGCACGCACGCACGCACATACACGGAGATCTAAATCCGACCGCGTAAGGTCTTCCCCGTGGTATACTTCAGGTTAATATCGGCGGCAACATTAGATACAAGTTTTTAGAGAAAGACCTGAAAATTTATTATTTATTTCAAATAGTTACACTTCAGTGAAAAAAATTGTAACATAATGATAAAGAAATCATTTTAAATAGAAAATGTTAAGCTATACGATACAATTAAAAAAACTTGCAAAAAAATTTGTTTTATCTATGCAAAGTTTATTCTTCAATTCTACATCTTCAATTTATATTATATTAGCATTATGTTTAAAAAAAATCAGCATTTAAAAAAAAGATAAAAAAAGCGTCTAGTATGCGTACTTCTTTCAAAAAAAACCATTACATAAATTATTATATGCGCTTGTATATGCTCCTTGAAGACAAAAAATTACTTCCTATTTCAAACCTATTCCAAACCTATTTTCCAAATTTTTATTTATAGTATGTAAATCACACAGCAGATTGATGACAGAAACCAATCGAACAGTACATGCGCACAAAGCACAATCTGACAACAGACTAATAACAGAAACTGAGAAGGAATTGCAAATTCTCAGTACTATCAATCTGATAATATAGCATATTAGCAGGTTTTATATTTCAGTTTAACGACGTCGTCAGATATTACAAACTCTGTGTGAAATATAATATTGCCTCTCTAGAAATTGATATAACATTCTCCGCTCAAAATTTATCTCTGCAGACTTGACTATTTGAGTATACAGAAGTATATTTGAGTATACAGAAATTTGAGTATACTTTGAGTATACAGAAAGTATACAGAACTCGCTTAGAAATCTAAGAATTTTAAGTTTTAATATTAATTATTATAATTGTTAACTATAATAAATCTTAATTATTAACTATTATTATTATTATTATTATTATTATTATTATTATTATTATTATTATCTATAATAATTTACTTCAACATAAACCAATTTATTACAAACAAATAACAAATCCTTATCTTCTAAATAATCGTAACGATAACGTATTATTTTTTAAAATTAATAACAAATAAATAATGTTATTTTTTTAAAAAAGTAATGATAATACGAATTTTTTATAAATTAACGTTCCCAATCAGTAAAAATAATGCTTCTAATATTTTATATATAATATCATCTTCAATTATATATTCTTCTGTTTTTAAAACTGCTTTGAGAACGTTCAATATTTTGCTGATTTTCATTTGAGCAATAATTGCTTTCCATGCTTATATGTCGCATTTTTTCTATATCGAAAATGTTAGCTTCTGATACTTTCCCGACTTTTCTTTCTTGTTTAATGAAAAATTTTTTATTTATTGCATTTATTTTTGACAATTTAATGTTCATAAACTCATTCTTTATTACACTAACCTTTCCGAACTTTCATGTTCTTTGTCGATCAAAGCAGTAGAAAATATCTTAGCTTCTGTGTTTATTTGCTTGAATTTATCCTGCTTCTGCTGTTCTTTTCTTTTAAATTTTTTTAATAGTTAGCATAGCATTTGATAAATTATGTTTTAATTTTTAATTTTTAATTTTTAACTATCAATCATTATAATTACATAGCACACTTTATCTCGAAAAAATCCTAAGTTTTAGATTTTCAAGTACAATCTGAAAGACTACTGAGTAAATAATTTCTAAGATATTCCAATAGAATAGAGATGTCTGTGTATATATGTATCAATGTCTGTGTATATATGATAATGCTTCCTACATAATAATAACAACAAAGGAAAAATATAAGAATTGATAAAGTTTGTACAAAGTATCATTTTCTATTATCTTATCTTTTATCTTTAAATAAAAATATTAAATATCATTTAATATTTTTTACCGTTTTTTATCGTTTTTTTATTTATTTTTTGATGACAACGAATTCACAATCGTTAATATATGTATAACATATTCTTCTAGTTATTTATTATTCTCTATTTTCTTGTTGGAATTTCTGCAGAATAAATAATTTGTATGTAATTACAAAAGAAATCCAAGTAGGGATTTGTCAATTCTTATTTAATATTGTTTTAATATTGTGTAATAGTGTAATAGTGTAATACAAATTATTCATTTTTTATAATATTATTAGGTGTACAACTTTGCTTCCGCCGTTTTCCTATAGATGGCTTTAGCGGTAAGTGGTAGTCGAAATAAATAGATCATAGACGTCATACAATAAACTTGGGCATCTGTCAACATAACCCCATAGAAACATTAGTCGATTTGTGTCTGCATCATAAAGTTATTCTCGATTGAAAATGTCAGTTTACGAGTCAAATTCTCGTCATTTGCGAGAGGTTTTAATTTTTTGCTTCAATATGAAGAAATCTGCGGCTGAGGCTCATCGAATGCTCTCAAATACTTATGGTAAAGCCGCTATTAGTGAAAGAACGTGTCGTGAGTGGTTTCAACGCTTCAAGAACGGTGATTTTGACGTCCAAGGTCATGCTCTGTATTTGGGACCAGCTCGGCGTAGTGTATTATGAACTGTTAAAACCGACTGAAACAATCACAGACGATCGGTATCGAACGCAATTGCGTTTGAGCCGAGCATTGAAAGACAAACGACCGCAATACAACGAGAGACACGATAAAGTGATTTTGCAGCATAACAATGCTCGACCCCATGTTGACGCGAAAGTGGTCAAGACATACTTGGAAACGTTGAAATGGGAAGTCCTACCCCACCCACCGTATTCTCCAGACGTTGCTCCCTCTGACTATCACTTGTTTCGATCAATGGCACACAGCCTGGCTGACCAGCACTTCCGGTCTTATGGAGAAGTAAAAAATTGGATCGATTCGTGGATAGCCTCAAAAGATGACCAGGTTTTTTCGACGCGGGATTCGTACGCTACCCGAAAGATGGGAGAAAGTAGTGGCCAGCGATGGACAATACTTTGAATCATAAATGTATAACCAGTTTTTTACAATAAAACCTCGAATTTCGGAAAAAAAACGGCGAAAACAAAGTTGTACACCTAATAAATTATAACGTTGGAAAATTATATGAGAATGTTAATGAAATCTTAAAATTCTAGAGTGTTATGTCGAATTAAATATCAAATAAAGTTAACATTTAATTAATTAAATGGCTACTTTTTAAATCGCTTTAAGAATGCATCAATGGTACGCATTTTTTCATGGATAAATTCTACCGTGAATCAACTAGACATCTAACAGAGCTTTCTTCAGTTTATTAACTAAAAATCTTTTAGTACAGAATGTTTGGTATTTAATGTAATGTAATTAACATTCCAGAGTTCGCTTTTTTTAAGTACATTACTACCCAAGTAACAAGCTGATAAGTTACTTATTAACTTATTACTTAAGTGATTTAATAAGCACATAAAATTTTATGAATATTATTATTACCTTGTATGTCACAATGAGTTGAAAATGTGTACAAGTCTTGTAACGCAGAAAAAAATTCATGACTTCCCAGTACTAGGATTCATAAGTCTCGGAATGGAAATTCCTTAAATTTCTTTACGTATTCTGTGTGCGAGAATGAGTAATCGAAGAAAATCGTTCGCATCATGATAGTCATTCTGGAGACATGAGACAGTGTCTCGACATTAAACACAGCTTATAATAAGACAGACGCGAGACACTGCCATGCTTCTTTAAGTTTCATTTACAATAGTCGCACAGGCAATCAATGTCGTAGGAATTTTTAGTCGTATGGTTGTCAACGACTAGGTTTTATTTTCTTGCATGAAGCGCATGAGTATTTAGTGCATGGCATAGAGTGCAGGGTACGTTCCGTTTCTCCAATACTCCATGCGGTTTTAGTAACAGAACGGATTCACAGTGAATTCATGCAGTGAACATAAACGACAATTTAAAATTGACTGAATTACAAATGCATTCAATAATTATTGTTACATCTTCTTTTTTAACAAAAGAAGAAGATTTATATTTTTCAACAGCACTTACAATCTTATTCTGCAGGAAAAGAAAAATAAAACGTATTATCAAAATGTCCAAAAAGAATGTTTAATACCATAAATTTCTAAAATATTAGAAATTTAATAAAAATTTTACAGATTATTCTTACATAAGTTCAGACACTATAACAAAATCCGAAATCGACTTCACTGTAAAGCAACTTGAAGTTATAAGAGTTTAAAATATAAAGATTTTAAGATTAGATTTGAGATACAGTCACAAAAATTTTTCATTTTTTTCAGAAATAATTAACAATAGAAATTGAAAAGTACATTTCAGCATTTTAATTATGAGTAAATGATAAGATTCTATATACAATCTTTATTATTCAAACCACATAAAAACGGTATATATTCGTCAAAATCAAATTTCACTTTTTGCTACAATTATACATAAAATAACAGTAATATATCAATATATTAATTTTCCAATATTATATAAATCAGAGACTAAAAACCGATATTCTATAGTGCTATACGCAAAACCGAGATCCAAATATCAGTATTGGATGATAAGTATTCAACAGGAATTTTCATAATACCAGTATACGCATAATTTTTCGATAATACCAAAGTATTATATCATATATATATTATATAATATATGTTATGTATATAATATATGTAATATATGAAAATGTTAAATTAAAAAAATTTTTTGAGTATTCTGAGCACTCTATTTATGTATCCCTTACGTGATTTTAAGTACACTCGCCCCAACCGAACCACTCATGATTTCTGTTTCGCGCTAAAATATGTTGAATGCACAAGCTGCATGAACTGCTTCAGCTCGAGAGATGACTTCATGCGGTCTCATGAACCGGAGGTATTAAAACGTTTTTTATTTCTTGCCTGCACGCCTAAACTTTAGAGAGTTGACAAATTCGTTGACAAAAAGACTATCGCCTGATTCATATTGGCTTAATGGAAGATCGTATGGGAAATATTGGAATGTCTGTATCTTCTTCTCATAGGAAAAATGTCCCCCAATCCCAATAGGAAATGTTGTTACAGTCTAAATACAAACGAGTTTGAAGTGTAATAGTTAATATTAATAGAACTAAAATACATATCTTAAACATAACTCCGTAATATACATTCTTTAATTTGATATTATTATTAATTCTTTAATATGTCAGAAATTAAATAATAATATAGTGCCTACGATAAATTTTGATATGAATACGACGCCGGCCTTGTAGTTCCCTATACTATAACCATATTATTTGCTTGATCCATGCAGCTTTGCTCAGATTTGCACTGGTAAACAAAAACCAGGGAATTTTTTTCGAATCGGGAGAAATTCTTGTGTAGTATTTAATATTAGGCATCGCACGATCTCGTCCTGTTCGCGTAGCTTTCCATTGACTATAAAAATTAAGAAATAAATATAAAATTTTATCTGTAGAAAAAATGGATTACTTCTAAGATATAAAAACATAAGCGTAAATATTGAAATCAAATAAAAATAAATAATTGTAACTTACTATAAATATGATTCTAGCCACTGTTGTTTAAAATGATTTTCTGCACTGTACAACAAGGGGGTACTTAAAACTCGAAAATCAAAGCTTTGCTTATAATTCGCTATTGACGGATAAATAAACTGAAAATGTGGAGGATTCTTTGAATCTTTAGAAGTTTCCTTCGACATACACCAAGTTATGTCTTGTACAACCCACTTTCGAACTTTGAACGAAAGCAGCCTACACCGGAACTCAGTGCTACTATAGGCCACTGTGCATCTGACGGCAGCGTGGCAAAGCGCGATAGAACGTATGCTAATTTCCTCTGTCCCCAAAAGTCGGCTTCGTCAGCTTCGTGAATTCCGGGAACAGAAGCAACGAGAAACACATTTATATCAGAAAAATCCGTCATCTGCACTGCACGTATCCACTGCGTCAAAGCCGGTTGTTCAGATTATTTACTCAGATTTCGCACAAGATCCTTTTTAAAATCCGTTGGAGATTCCCCATCATCAGGATTTGCGGATTCTGACAGGGCAGATGAGGCGAGATCCATAATCTAATCAGGACATAATAAAAAGATGTTTATAGACAAAGATCATACGACAACAAGAAATATCTATGCGTACTTAACGGACCCTTGTGTTCTGTTTTTCCAATCGTCAGAATATAAGGCAGCAGTAGAGACAACCACCCTAATCCCATTACTATATTGCAAGATCATGATGTTCGTATGATGGCTCGAGAACTCGTGTCCATTTACCTTTATTACAGTAATGTTTTTACTTAATTCCTCATGACATGGACATATTCTATGTTTATACAAAATTGTCATGTCGGTACATTGACCAGCTAACATATACTGCAAATATAACCACCTGACATCTACAGTAAAAATTAAATGAAGACTATTAACAATTTCTCCAAGACTACAGTCGAGAATCTCAGAAAAAGTTATGGAGAATTGTTGATTATAAGTTTCTTCGGAATTTTCGACTCTAAAAAATAAATGATAAGGTGCTGAAGAAGCATATTTCGTTGCAAACCTTCCTGGTTCCACAATCATTATTGCGTACCCAATTTGTTTCATTATCTGAATAGCCATTTTTCTAGCTTTCTTCCTTAACTTTAGAATCAAAAACTTGATACGTATGCATGAAATATTTCATTCCAGATGTTATTGAATATAAATCTTTTTCACTGTTTTTTAAACTGCTTCGAGAATCGCTGATATTTTGTTGATTGTTTGTGAAATCATTGCTTTCTGTTTCATTTTTTCTATATCGGAAGTGCTACCTTCTGGTGCCTCCCGACTTTTCTTTTTTGTCTAATAAAAAATTTATATTTATTGCATTTATTTTTTACAATTTAAAGTTCATGAACTCATTCTTCATTATACTAACCTTGTCACGTTTCAAACTCTCATTCTTCGTCAGTCAAAACTGTAGAAAGTGCCTGAGCTCCTTCGTCCATTTGCTTAAATTTATCTTGTTTCTCCTGATTTTTATGTCTTTTTTTTCTTCACATCTTCGTTACTTTATTGCAATTGAAAAAAATTGTGTTTTAATAAATTAACTACCAAGTATCATGACTATCACACAATTTATCTCGAAAGAATCTTCGAAAGAATTAAGTTGTTTCAGATTTTCAAATGCAATCTGAAAGACGACTGAGTAAATAATATCTAGTATATTCCAATAAAATATCTGTATATAAATAGGATCGGGATGGTATTGCTTTTAGTAGTAATAACAACAACAAAGGAAAAATATAAGAATCGATAAAATTTACACACAAAGCGTTATCATTTTCTATCATAATATATTGTCTTACTTTTGATTATTAAATAAAAATTTTATCGTTTTCTATCATTTTTTTTTATTTCTTAGTGAAAATGAATTCACAATCGTTGATATATGTATATGATAAAATATTCTTGTAGTAATTTATTATTCTCTATCTTCTTGTTGATATTTCTGCAGAATAAATAATTTGTATATAATTACGAAAAAAATTTTAGTAGGAATTTGCCGATTCTTATTTAATATTGTTTTATAATAATATTGTCATCATATGTAATATACAAATTGTTCATTTTTTTATAATATTGATTATAACATTGGAAAATTATATAATTGCGAGTGCTAGTTAAATCCTAAAATTCTGGAGTGTTATATCGAATTAAATAATAATAACGTTCAAAATGATATATTTTTAATTTTAAATCACTTGGGAATGCATAAATACTTATTGTTTCATTAATAAATTCTACTTTGAATCAACGAGATCCGGTAATTTTTAATGTTAATATGTATAAATATACACAAATGTTTATAAACATGTATAATCATATATGAAATATGTCCATACATATTCATATATCCCTCTTTCTTTTGTAAAATTATTTTTTAGTATAACAGAATAGTAGTAATGTGAAAACATAAAAAATAATTAAAGGGACAATTTTAGCATTGTTTATTTTAGAAAAAAACAAGTTTGGAAAAATGTTAAGAAAATTGCTCATACACAATTATGCATAATTTTATATATAATTATGTAAATAATTTTTTTACATTTCTTCAAACTTGATTTTTTTCTAAAATAAATAGTGTGAAAATTATCCATTTTTAACGTTTTCATATTACTATTGTCATTTCTATTACATTAAAAAGTAATTTTACAGAAGAAAGAAGGATATATAAACATGAACATATTCCATATAAAATTATGTGTGTTTATGAATATTTATGTATGTTTATTCATATTTATATATATTCATTTATAAAAATTTTTTTATCGAGAACATCATCAAAAGAGCGATTTTCAATTTATCAACCGATGGAAATCTTTTAGTGCAGAATGTTGGTATAATGGTTTGATCTCTAATAAGATGTAATTAACTCCAAGTTTGCTTTTTTAAGTACATTATTATCCAGATAACAAATTGATGTTATTTATTAGCTTATTATCTGGATAATAATTTAAAAAAACACAGGACTTCATGAATATTATTGCCACCTTGTACCTTACAATCAGTAATGAAAATAAATAATGACGATTATATAATGCACGAATTTCGCGATTTTCCCCATCACCAGCTAGGATTTATACGTTTCGAAATGGGATTTCTTTAAATTTCTTTACATCCTACTGAGGGGAGAGAATAAGCGTGTTTTTTTTAATCCTCTAGATGTTATCTAATTATAAGATATCCGTAAGATATCATACATATTAAACACATTAAACACTTGTATGTGCGTTTGCTAGATATTTATCGAATATGAGGCTATCTTAAAATATGTACGTTATGGTGATTACGATGTTCCAAATTATTTGTATTATATCTACTAAATAAATTAAGTGTATTATGATTGTTCCTGTTTTGTCCTTCTCCAATTTATTACCATTTTCAATTATTGTCTAAACAATCATTATACGTAAAATAAAGTATCTCTGATATTTCAATCATATTATTCTGCTGCCTATCAATTATTTCTCCACTAAAATTAACAATTATTAATTAAATGAATTACATGTAATGACATAATCAATAATGATATAATTATTAATTACGTACAATGGAAAAATACAAACAATTACAATGTTCTGACATTTCATCCAAATAAATCGGTTTTATAACTTCGGTTTCATCGAAATAATTCGATTTGCAATTAAATTTTTCTGGTAAAGATTTCTCTATAAAAAGATAATATTTATTTTCTGCAAATAAATACGCTTATTGTTCTAAAATCCAGAATCTTTCTCTCTTGAGAAAATATATCTAGAATATAATTAATAGGAAATAAAAATCTTTTAACATCTGTAATCATCATAGAATTCATTGTCAAAATAAGACTGAATATTATGAGTGAAATAACTTACAAATCTGATTTTGATAATATAAATGTTTAATTATGGATTTCTTTGTTTCTTTTAAATAACAAGAAAACAATAAATGTATGTGATTCTGCAAAACATTACTTATTCTAAAATTCTACTAACATACGGATATTCCCATATATACATTTTTATTGAAGTGATAAACAGTATGCGATATCTGCAACTTCTTTGAAGTTGAACTTTGTAATCATGATTCAGTACTTCAGATAAAGTCGCTATATTCTTTATAATTGATGTATCAGATATATACGAGTAATTATTTACAAATAAAATATAATTAATAATTAATTTCAATTGTTATGTTTAAACCCTTGAAAAATTGATCGGAGAGCTAATGAAGGAAACTGGAGAGGATATGGAAGGATGGTTAAATTCTGTCTCGCAGATATACGCACAGAGGCAAATACTCGAGAGTCGAACGTTTTTTATGGAATAATGCCTGGAATATGGTCAACGTCCCGAAGGAACGCTATAACACCTTTCCTATGAACAGTGCGAACGTCGATCCTACTTTTGGGTCAAGGAACTTAATTCTTTTGACCCGGGGCTGGATCACGTGCAAATTCAGATAATGAAGAAGAGATACGAGATATCTTAAAATAAATATATTATTAAGTAAGGATATTCATTTTAAAATAAAATAATAAATTTATTCATAAAGTAGAAAAAATAAACTAAAGGTTACAAATAAGTGACATGAGCTATCGGTATTATTGTACCTATAATTAAGCTTGTATAATTAAGCTTGTAAGTATGGTGTAAATATATGTATAACGTAGATTACATGAATACCTGTAATAATGAAATAAAAAAAAAATGAAATAAAATATAATTAATGTGTATGCGTGTGTGCGTATCTCTCGAACCGCACGATTCACTTGATTTAACGAACCTTCTCGACTATTAAAAGGTAAAAAATGTAAAAATCAATATCTTCCACCTGAATTATCAAAATTCGCAAGCATCGTAATGATCGAAAATAATGACAACACAATATGTAAATAATGCCCGACAAAAGATTCATTATTCCCGTCAAAGCACACCATTCGGCCAATTTATCGAATCTATTGAAAGTTACAAAAAAATAAATGAATAAAAAATATGTATTTTACGGAAATTCTTTGCAATTTGTTGAGCGATATCCAGAAATATTCTTCAAGAAATAATGTAACATTCCGCAAAGGAATGAATTTCTTCTCTCTCTCACGAAAATAAAGAATGGAGATACTCTGTATGTGAGAATGAGTAATAATCGAAGAAAATCGTTCGCATCACGAGTCATTCTGGAGACATGATAGTGTCTCGACATTAAACCAAACACAGCTTATAATAAGAAAGACGCGAGACATTGCCGTGCTCCTTTAAGTTTCATCTACAATAGTCGCACAAGCAGTCAATGTCGTAGGAATACTGTTTCTAGTTGTATGATTATCAATGACTAGGGTGCGTTCCGTTTCTTGCATGAAGCGCATGAGTATTTAGTGCATGGCATGGAGTACAAGATACATTCCGTTTCTCCAATGCGGTTTTAGTAACAGAACGGATTCACAGTGAATTTACGCAGTGAACATGACAATTTAAAATTGACTGAATTACAAATGCATTCAGTAATTACTGTTACATCTTCTTTTTTAACAAGAAGAATATTTATATTTTTCGAGCAACACTTACAATCTTATTCTGCAGGAAAAGAAAAATAAAACATATTACCAAAATATCTAAAAAGAATGTTTAATACCTATTTCTAAAATATTAAAAATTCCGAAATCGATTCACTGTGAAGCAATTTGAAATTATAAGAGAGAAATTATAATTATTAAAATATAAAGATTTTAAGGTTAGATTTGAAATACTGTCAAAAATTTTTCATTTTTTTCAGAAATAATTAGCAATAGAAATTTAGAAGTACATTTCTGCATTTTAGAATAAATGATAAGATTCTGTATACAATCTTTATTATTCAAACCACATGAAAACAGCACATATTCATCAAAATCTAATTTCAGGAACTTTTTGCTACAATTATACATAAAAGTGGTAATATGTCAATATATTAATTTTCCAGTATTATATAAATCAGGGACTAAAAATCGATATTCTATAACGCTATACGCAAAACCGAGATCCAAATATCAGTATTGAACGATAAGTACTAGTATTCAACAGGAATTTTCATAATACCAATATACGCATAATTTTTCGGTAATATCAAAGTATTATATCATATATATATATTACATAATATATGTAATATATGAAATGTTAAATTAAAAAAATTTTTTGAGTATTCTGAGCACTCTACTTATGTATCTCTTACGTGATTTTGAGTACACTCGCCCCAGTCAAACCACCTATGATTTCAGTTTCGCGTTAAAATATGTTGAATGCATCAAAATATGTTGAACTGCCTCAGCTAGAGAGGTGAAGCACTTCATGCGGTCTCATGCACCGGAAGAGGCGGGGTCAATTGGCGATAGGTTGAATCATGCATGCAGGAAGTGCATGAAGAGAAACGGAACGAACTTCTATGCTTCTATGCGCATCATGCTAGAAATGGAATTCTAAAAACAGTACTCTTACGATATTAGCTGCGTTCAGGACTCAACAATTGTAAGTAAGCGTTCCCTGTTGGATGCCTTCCAATAGGAAACACACATGACACGGTGTGACATCATTACATCTTTATTGTTCAGGGAATGGAACTCGTTACTTGTAACGAAGTTACAATTATTTTTTTGATAACTTTACATACTGATTACTGCGTTACTTTTTTCTTTGATAATTGTAACGATAACAAAGTTACATTTTTTTGGTAACGGTAATTTTGCAATTTCTTTTATTGTTACTTTGCACACGATTAGACATGATACGACACAAGCCATTCACACTGTAAAAAAATTTTGTAAATTTACACTTGTAATAGATGTTAAATTATATAATTAGTCCTA